TATATATATATAATTTTATTTTTTATCTAAATGAGCTCGATGTAAGGTTGTTAACGATTTGATTTTGAGCCGAGTTTGGGTCCGCTCAAAATCGGCTCTAAAAAAATTTGATCCAAAATTTTGGCTCGTAGCTCGGCTCATTTATTTCGATCCGATCTCGATCTAAGCCAAAAATTGAATTAATTTCAAGCGATTAGTTATCTTCAAGCTAAATTCGCTAAATTTACACCCTTAACATAACTATAGTTGTTAACTATCCGATTTCAAGCCGAGTTTGGTTGGCTCTAAGAAATTCTATCCAAAATTTTGGTTCGTAGCTCACCTCATTTATTTCGATCCGATCTCGATCTGAGCCAAAATTCGAATCAATTTTCGAGTGATTAATGATCTTTGAGCTAAATTCACAGCCCTAGCATGACGGTGTTCTTTTGATTATTTGAGAATTATTCTTGCTAGACTCTATCTTTGGTTAGAGAAAAAATTGCTATGGCAATAAATCAGCCTCCTCTCCACCTGAATGTTGGCCAGATTATCTAGTTTCGTCTGCCCTGGCACATACTTTGTGCACCCATATTTTCATGATTGATCCGTGAATCCTAATTTGGAATCTAAGGGCATTTCTCGAGGAATTTAAAATCCTTCATTGTAGGCAATTTGTGACCATCTTATTCCTTTTTGGTTTCTGATTATAAATTGCCCGATTTGGTTAACATCTTGCCATATTGGAATGTTTATAAGGTAGATTGATAGTTTATCATCTAATGCTGCACGAGAATTTTGTACATAGATGAAAACAATATAAATGGAACTTGAGATTATTTTTGTATGAAAATTTTGAGTACAAGAAATATCATGGCGGTCTAATTCAGTTGAAATGTCTCTATTAGTATGAGTCAAGGATTCTAAAAAATATATTTTTCATCATAGTTGGAGTTAATATAAGGCAATCCATATTAATGCGGAGGTTTTTTCTATGGCAATATTAGGAGCCTTGAGGTATTATGGTTATTACTGTTGGGTGATTTTGAGCGGTTGACTTGGTCGGAGACTGAGTGATTGACAAAATTAATGTCAAGCATCAGTGGCTGACTGATGGACATTGTCGTCAATTGTTGGTAGTCATTTGGTGATGGTTAGTGAGAAACATTATATTTCATCTCTCATTATATGGGCAAACTAGGAAAGCACAAAGATGATTATTATACATTAGTTGCCAATGGTTGCCTAACATTAGTGTTGCTGGGTGTTGGGTGAAGATCAATCGGAATTGTTAGAGATTGGAGGATATTGGGCAATCGGCTTGGCTATACTAATAGAAGGTGTTTTCAGCTGACCCAGAAGATGTATGTAATATTAGTGATTAACATATATTGGACACTAGTATTTAGTATCCGCAACCTGGCAAAGAACGTCTAGGGCTAGAAAATGTTCAATTTTATCATTCTTTTGGAAAAGAGATTAGGTGGCTGAGAAGAATTGGATCAGATGGCATTGACTGAGAAACATTAAATGTTTGTGTTGATATGTATTAGATGATAATTGATGGGGGATAGGACATTCAACTTGGCCGTTCTCTCGATAAGACGTGAGATTGGGCGATTAAGAAAACATGCTACGTGTTGACAACTGATGTCACATGCTACGTGTTGACAACTGATGTCATTTGATGGAAAGCATCTCATGACAACAAATGAGAAAAATTGGAGGTCTAGTGATAGTTGCTAGTTGATTTGATCATTCTTCCAATAGGAGGATATACTAGATTGCATGGCACATAAGTGTCATATGTCAATGAATGATAGACATTGGATGCAATTCGATGGAAAATGTTAGATAATGTTGAATCGGAAACATTGTAATTCAAGCGACAAGACATTTTACGTAAAAGACGGCTGACTAATGAGATATGCATTAGTAACTGACAAACGTTAAACAATGGTTATGCTAAGCATCAATGTTGGTTAGTAATTGACATGGTGTGATGGCTACAATGAGTGTTATGTTAGTTGATAACCAACATCACACATGGTAATGGCGGGTGTTGATGCATGTCAATTACTACCATCAGGTAGTGGTGATGATGGGTATGTGTAATGATTAATGGCAATGTCACGTGATTGCAGACACATCTTTAGATAAGTTTAAGAAATATGGATTGTTTATAGAGTATTGAATTGGGAATCATAGTCATTTTTGTCATAGATTTGGGCACTGCATTAGATAGCTAAGAGATATTACCTTGATCTTTTGATTTATTTTGGAATTTTAGTGTCTTAATAATCTTAAATTGAGTGGTTTTGGGCTCATTATTTTCTCCTAATCAAGTCATTTTTTTACTATAAATATATAAAATTAGGATTGCATGTAGTCTTTTAAATGACCTAAAAAATTATTCAATTATATTTTTAAATGCTTGACTTAGGCGTATTTGACTTGAATCATAGTGTTCTCAGTATTGTTTCGTTCATCTCATCATATAACATTTTTTATCTATAAATATGCTGAAAATTGATCAGATGATGTTATAATCAATTTTATAATTTTAGATTGCCATGAAGGTTGAAAAGGAGACGAAGGTTTCAGGAGATGTAGAGGATGAAGGTGAAGAAGGTATCCCTCTAATAGGAGTTGGAGGTTTGTTGCTCGAATGAAACTTATGGGTCATTCCAATTTATTGTAGGAGCAATTCTTAGGAAGAAAGGAACCATTCCTAATAGGGCCAATTAATTTTGACAAAATATTCACCCTATATCAAGGATTTGAAATATAGTATGACTGATGTCAAAGGAGATTAACTATGATAAAGTATTTAGTGAATTAAGCTTGCTTGCACACAATTGATCTTTTTAGGTCATCTTGAGCTCAATTTGGATTGAACATGGCCAAATTGGGCTTGTTTAAGTCAAGTTGTTCATTTAGATATAACCACATAGGTAAATCTCCTGCATTATTTGATGCTTTGGCCAACACTATGAGGTGTTTGGATCTGTGGTCAAAACCACACGTGCATTTTGACATTTTATTTGAATCTTAAATTGTCATCACATGACAAGCTCTAGTTGATTTTTTAGTTGCACATTCGATTAATAAAATTCCCCATTCAATTACAATAAGTTGGATGAGCAAATATGTCATGCTCAATGGTCAATGATGATCCAACTCAAACTAACTTTGGTCAAGTTATGGTTGAAATTGGTATTTTATTTTTCTCCTTGAATAAATGTACCTTGCATCACTCTTATAGCCTTTTAGAATCTCACAAAAACAATGAACTAATGAAACGTAGTGCAAGCTCTGATTTTATGTTTTGAGATAGCTATCCATGTGAAGATTTAAAGAGTCAAATTTTGGAGGCTTGCAAATCATTACCAATCAAGTATTGGAACCTATAAAGTTCTCTTGCAAAAGTTAGTAGCATATCATCAATAAATTATGGAGTTGCATGGGGAATTATTTACATTAATTTGATGAGAATGCTAAATGCACTGATATTACTAAAGACAAAAGAATTGCAAAGCCTAAAATTTTTTTTGTTGGATGATTATGTCAATTAGCATTTTAAAAAAAATGTTTATTGAAAATATTTGATGTTATCTTGCAAGAGTATTAATAAACATAAAATTTAAACACGTGCAAGTAAAATAGATAGCAAGATAATGCAGGTGCAATAAATAGCAAACACCATATTTTTATTTGATTCAGCCAATCAAGCTTACATCTATGCTAGCCAACTCTTGGGATAGGAATCCACTAAATCTAAGGTTTGCCACCAAACCTCACTTTTTAAAACCAGAAAAGGTACTTACAACATAAGTAAACTCTTACACGGGCGAGTATAACCCATTCTAAATACAATGATATTTCACTATCCAAAATTTCTTAAATAAAAAAAAAATTACAAAATTTATGGATTATACAAGCTCAAACAATTTTGCAACACAATAACCTGACAACAGTTTTAGGTGAAAGTGTTGAAAATCTCCTTATAACTTGCATATGGAATGTAAATTTTGCTCAATGCTAAATTTATATTCTAATTTATGTGAACTATATTATTGTGATTTTAAGTTGAGAGAAACTCACTGATTATAAATATTTTTTTTAATTATTTGTTATTTTAAAAAACAAATCTATATTAAAATAAACTTACTTGCTCATTAACTTTATAGATGACAAAATTTAAGTATTCAAAACTTAATATATGATGCTTGATGAGTATTCCATCCACAAATAAAGATTCTTAGAAAATATAAAAGATGAAAAACATATGATCAATAAAGAAATATTTAAAGAGAAGAACACAAATTCAAAAACTTAAAGAGAGTTTGCTTAATTGATTGTGTGGAGGCTTCCAAATTAGACTTGATCATGCAAATATCTTGCCCCTTGGAATGAAAATAAGGACTTCTCTCCTTCAGATTTTTACTTGAAAAGAATGAAGGAAGAAAACAGGCTAGAGTTTTTAAAGTAGTATAGTTTTCAATAAAGAAGTAATGAGTGCTTTTAAATCAATTTTAAGGCATACTAACATTCTAATATTTTTTTATCAAATAATAGTATAATATTCAAAAAAAAAAATGATTTTTATTAAAACATTATTATATCAAAATGGCTAGCTAATGTTTACACAAAATAGGGAAATCAAACAAAACTTGAGAATGCCTAAGTGGGTATGTAACTGCTAATCAACTTAGCAAAAAGGATATAACGTTTGAAAAATAATAATTAATTCAATTCAAATCTAAAGTGGGTAATGTAACATATCAAATTGCATTTACAGAATCTAAAGTGAGTAGTGTAACATATCAAATTGCATTTACAAAATCTAATAAATATTATGGAATTGTTTGCACCATACTTTAATCTACTCCATTTGACAATGGTTTAATGACCTTTCAAGTGTTGGAGTATGAATCCAATTGCTCTTATGGTTCAGCATTTATGTGTAATAAACCCATCCTTCCTACAACTCATTATTTTTTGTGTGATTGTTGAGGAGATGGAGCTTGCAACACTCCAACTCGGCGCTCCCATGTCTGAGCATGGCGTAACCATGCCTGATATGGGTGTACCTATTCCTGGCATCATGACTACGCCACAACCGGCATAGTTACGTCAGTTACTTCTATCGTGATTGAGCAAAGACCGAACATGTTAAATAAATTTGCCACAAGATGGGTCTACTTTTAACGGTTCTTAAGTTTTTCATTCGAGCGATTAAGCTTTTAAGTCGTGTGGGGTGTTTCTTGGCAAGCTTCTTCGTGACGGTGAATTCTCGAAAGGATGATACAATGTGGATGTTCACGGCTGTTGGAACATCCGTATTGTATTTAATCACTTTGTGTGCCACACATGTTGCCTGAGTGACAGTGGTATGCTATCTCATAATTGCATTTTTGTAAGCACATCACCTAGTCCATTTAGATGACAAGTTGATTCATTAGATGAGCGGCCTGCTTGTTGGTCATAATACTTAAATGAGCATTGCTTGCAAGAATAGCTCAACGAGCAATGCGAGTTTTTGTATTATGACCAACTTATGTATAATTATGCTAAGACTTCAAGTGCTCTAAAGTACGTCACTTGTATGTTACAAACTCGCTTTTAATGGTCCTATATTTTAAAAGTATAAAACAAATATTTTTCTTTTGTCTTGTTTGTTTTTTTAAATTATATAAGTTAGGTAATATGTGAAACCTCCTCTTTTAAAATGTCATCCTTAGTGAAGCATATTAGATTCATTGGATTTTTAGGACCGAGCCAGTTTGGAGACCACGTCAAAGTCATACATCTAAACTTTACCCTTGCACCATGAACACACTTACACTGCAGGAAAATTGTTAATTAACTTCCGAATTAGCGTTCAAAAATTTTCCGGCGCAAAATTAGTGACTGATTAATGTTGCCCCGCGGTCCCAAAATCAGAGTAAGCGACACTAGCGAGTTGCATCGACCAGAGGTTGCTAATCTGACACTATAGCATCGACTATGGCCGTTGCTAAACTCAATTAATAGTGCGGCCATAGCCGACACTAAATCTAATACTAGAGCCCTAAAATATGGCTCCTGCAAACCACAACTCTACTTTAGAGTATGTTGAAAAGATCCTACAGAGGTTCAACATGGATGAGGCAAAGCTAGTTTGCACCCATTGGGTAGTCATTCAAGCTATCTATGGAATTATCGCTTAAGTCTGAAGGAGAACAAGCACAAATGGGGAGAACTCTATATATTTTAGCAGTAGGAAGTATGATGTGTACTATGATTTATACAGTATCAGATATTGCATGTGTAGTGAGAGTGGTCACTAGATATAGGCAATCCAGGCAGGCATTATTAAACAATCTCATGTAAGTGAGTTTGAGATGAAGGATTTTGGTCTAACCAAAATTGTCCTCAGGATAAGACTCAATAGGGATAGGATTGTAGGTACACTGAAATTGTTTTAGATAGGGTATGTTGAGAAGAACCTGTAGAGGTTCAACATAGGTGAGGCAAAGCTAGTTTGCACCCTCATAGGTACCACTTCAAGCTACTTAAGGAATTATCGCGTAAGTTTGAAGCTGAACAAATACAAATGAGGAAAACTCCATATGTACTTCAACAATTGAAAGCCTGTTGTATGCTATGATTTGTACAATACTAGATATTGCATATGCAGCTGGTGTGATTAGCAGGTACATGGGCGATCCAGACAGGCATCATTGGGAGGCAGTGAAGTAGATTCTTAGGTATTTAGGGGAACAATTACCATGCACTTTATTATAAAAGTGCAAATGTTAGTCTACAGGGATTTATGGATTCAGATCTGACAAAAGATTTGAATGGTAAAATATTACAAGGTCTTCACTTTGGTAAACATAATGGTGAGTTGGGTCTCCAAGCTGCCGAAGATTGTTGCACTTTTAACTACAAATGTTGAATACATTGCTATCACTGAGGCTAGCAAGAAGATGATTTGGTTATAGAGCTTTGTAGTAAAAATTGGCAAGGAGTAGGGGATTTAAAAGCTTCATAGTGACAATATGAGTGTTATCAATCTTGTTAAGAGCGTCACTTGTCATGCTAGAACAAAGCATATCCAACTAAGATATCAACTTATTCACTCTCTCCTAGTAGATAGACAATTACTTTTAGAGAAGATACAAGGTCATAATCTTGCAAATATATTGACAAAGGTGATGACTATCGAGAAATTGGAGCTATGATTGGCTCCAGTGAAATCTAGGAAGGTTAAAACTTGGGGTGAGCCACACTACAATGTGTGACTATGAAGTTGATATAGATGGAGATGCAAATATGGTGGACATGCGACATGTGCTATCAGTCTCCAAGTGAGAGATTATTGAGGGATGAAGCTTGTATCACCTGAACTCATGCACTCCCAAAGAGGCGCCCTTGCACCTAAACATGGTATAACCACACCTGAAACAGGCGTAGTTGTGCCGTGCGGCGTGATTACGCCACAACCGGCCATATATATCGAACGCGCGAAATAATTATATAGCTTATCGACATGGTTGCATTGTCGAGATGGTTCTACCATTTACGATTCTTAAGTCTTTTGATTCGGGCGACGAAGGCTTTAAGTCATGTGCGGTGTTTCTCAACAGGCTTTTGTTTTTAATAAACTAGCTTATTGTGAAGGTAAATTGTCGGGAGAGTGATTTTGACGCGTTTGTGAGCTTGAGAGAAGGTTTGGAGCGAGTTTTGTAGTTCTGTGTGCCTACAGAGACTTGATCTAAATGTGTATCCCTGTAAAACTTTTGCTCTTTATGGTTAAAATTTTTTGGTGGCGTGGCTCCGTGGTTTTTTCTCGTTCTCGTGTTTTTCCACATAAATCTTGTTATATTTTTTTGTGATTGTTTTGTTGTGCTTCTTTCAAAATTTGCTTTAGATTTCTCAATTTTTTGTGATCCTATTCCAAGATGTGGTTTTGATGTCTAATTGATCGAAGCCCTAAGTATATATTCCATCCCAATGACTTTTTGTAGTTTTGCTAA